TGCCACTTTGAGCAATTTTTTGCTCGCTGAGGAAATGAGAAAAGCTGTAGGCATTGGTTAAAATAGTCTTGTGTTAGGGTGAGAACAGGCCCTGCTGTCATGGTTTTGGTTTACGATCCTTTATATAACAATAATGTGCTTTTTCCTAGAGGACTCCTAAGTACAAAATGCAGAGAGTCATGCAATTGATAGAATATTTTAAAGCTAGCTGTAAACTTATTGGGAAGTTTTTGTTGTATCTATCTTGGATATGCCTGTAGAAATATTAAACTTATTGGGAAGTTTTTGTTGTATCTTGGATATGCCTGTAGAAATACGGGACAAAACGCTCTTACAAGTAAGAGTGGAATGGGAAGATTCATTATTAAAATATTTTCTGGTAGTGTCTAGTTCTGCAAGTCATTATAAGGATTTAAATCAGCCACAGCATTAAGGAAAGCACTTGCCAACTTGAATTTCAACTGGTTTTTGGACTACCAACCCTCCTTTCAAAGCAGGACTGTCTGGTTGCAATCTAACTACACCATAAATTACCCCACTCTGTGGTATGGCAGTCTTGAGCTGTTGGGGAGCTGTGTCCTTGTTTTGCGAGGTAGAGCATTGGAAGTTTCTTCAGGCTGAAGCTTCATCTTGTAGTCTCACGGACACTGTGGAGAATACTTGTGTATTAGACGTCTTTGTCTACCATAGGCATGGTCTTAATGTGCGTTTAACCAAGGTTTTGGCTTCTTCCATTAAAAGTGACTACTTTGATACTTTTATTTCTTGCTAGTGCAACAGCAGCTGTGGCACAGAAATCACATACTATTAATTAGCATTTACATACCTGTGTCTCTCTAAAACATATTTTAGTTTCTTTTTTTATTGGTTGAACTGCGGAAGCTGTACTGGATACTCCAATAAAATAATTCTCAGCAGGGCCAGAAATACTTATGTACTGCTGGGGATTAGCATGTAATTAAATCCAGAAGGGCCTTAGAGCTTTAAATCAGGTTAGCTTTACTGTGATTTGGAAGTGCACAATGTATTCAGTGTCTGTATAGAAACATAATACTAATTATAAAGCTTTTTGCTGAGATCTTTCAGAAGACATCTGAAACATACATGAATTAAAGTTAGTATTTTCCTGAGCTCTCTGGCAGTAAGCGTTGTAAAGGAAATGTCCAATTTCTGTCTTTGCCTTCCACTTGCAAGTTGGCTGTGTTGAGCCACGTGAGTTTTTTTTCTTTCATGGCAGAGTAACAGTAACTAGTCTTTATAGGGTTTTTTTTCCACCCCTTAGAGGGGAAATAATTAGAATTGATAACTGGGAATGCCAAGTCACCTACAAAAGTCCTGTTTTCTGTTTGAGGTGCTATGAATATTGTGATACTCACGTGCTTGGAGATGACGTGTTCTACGACACTCAGTATACAAAATCACCTGCATTTTCTCCAAAACAGCCAAGGTGGATTTGGAAGGAGGAAAGCCCTCAGCAGTGAGTCAGCTACTCAGAGCGGCCACTGCAGTATTTGATGTGTTTTCTATGTAGCTGATAATTAGTGAGCCCAAGGGTTTGGGAGTGAGAATGCTGCTGTTCAGCTGTTGTCCTTTCAGTTGACTGGAGTCCAAAAGGCTACAAAGACTAATGCCTGATGGCTGCTTGCTGGTGTGTAAATAGTAAAGTCTTGCCTGTTACTGAGCACCGCTTCCCTTGGGGCCTGTGGGCAAGCCGAGGCTGAGCAGCGTGCTGAGCAGGAGCTGCCCAGGTTCAGCTCCGTAGGTGGGGACGTGGGGCTGAACCTCCTGGTTGGAACTGGTGGTGGTGGTGGCTTTGGGTCTTGCAGACAAATAGGGCATCAGCTCTCCATGATCTAGCATCTCGGAGTAGTACTAAGGCATCAAAAAATTAAGTATGCTTTAACTTTTAACAATGTAATTCTGTTATTCATGAAGATAGCAACATTTAAAGCTAAGCTTTGGTATCTTCTGTAGACCAAAGCCAACCATATTGCTGGTGAGGGGTTTTGTTTTCAGTTTAAAAGCTGAGTTTATGTTGTACTTTGCATGAAACATGAGGTTTTAAAAGTAGATCATTCTTAATGTTTAAATTATTTTGGCTTAAATTATTTAAGCTGCCAAACAGATTAAAAAACGGGGATTGCAGCTGGAATATACTTCTACCACAAAGATGACCTACAGCATTATCAGTAATTCCTTGATAAAATAGAAAAATCATCCATGTTGTCCTTGACAAAAAATGTTTGGGTTTTTTTGTAGGAACAGAATCAAACACTAATAGGCTTATTTTTTTTCCACAAATACCATAGCTGTAGCTCTACATTCTCCTTCTGTTTTCTAGGGCTGGCACGGCTTCAAATCTGCAGACTAACTTGAAAAAGAGCGAGCAGCCTCACTGGGCTGTGCTCAAGTTGTCTGTTCAGACTTGAGCCTCATTCCTGAGATTCCTGGCTTCTGAGGGTTTCTCTGGGCGAAACGATGAAATGCCAGATTGAATAGGCTCGCACAGCGAGGGCCGTAGCCCCTCTTTATTTGCGCAGCAATAAAGGTTCAGTTATTGCTGTTGAATGAGACCAGGAAATTTCCTTTGTTGATGCTGCAGCCCGAGTACTTTAAATGGTTCCCACTTGTTCTGCCACACACTACCCCAAAGAAAAGGTGTCAAATATTCCTCCTAGCTTGCATCCGAGCAGAAGGACTGCCTGTAAAAGTGCACTTGTTCTAGCTCAGCATCTTTACTATGAGAGGTTCATAAGGAAACCCTGACAAGAAAACCCCTCAAAACAAACGCAGCTACAGCTGACACAGTAGAAAGGAGTCTCTGGGCTGGAGGTGGTGACTGTATGTATACATAAATACATGCTGATGGACATATATGGTATGTTGTATCCCTGAAGAGCGGTGAGTGAGAAGATAGGTATGTGTCTAAGGAATTAGTTTCTGGGTGAGGCTTTTTTGAGACTCCTTTCTAGCCAGCAACCATTTGGCCAAGCATTAATGATCTTCAGTCCTGCCCTTACTTGCCTGAGCTCGGCAGGGAGATGTGCCAGCCAGGCCGTGGCTCTCGCCAGCACGCGGGCTGGCGGCTGGGCAGCAGTCTGTGCTTTGGCCCCTTTAAAGCAGGTGGCTAGTTAACGGCACGCTGCTCTGCAATTCGTCTGTCCAGGGCAAATAACTCGGCCCTGGGGCTCCAGGATAAATAACTTGGCTCTGGGGCTGCAGGATGGAGGCACTGTAATAGCAGTGCTGGAGATAGCTGGGGAATAATTAGTAGTAGAAAATGCTTCTTGATAGTCACTGCAGGCAGAGCTGAGCTCAAATGAATAGTTAACTACCGGTCAGCTCAGCTCGCTTAGATTTCTTACTAACATGTCATTTACCGCTGAAGACAGCTAACTGTTTTTTGAAGAGGAGTTTTTGACAGCTGTCTCTTTGTTAGATTGACATCATTTATGAAGATGAGCATTTGAATAAAATAGTCTCGTTCACCAAATTACCTTCTGCTACCTAGTTTGGTAATGCTTCATTCCCCATGTGTTACTCTTCATTTCAAAAACAACATTCCTGGGATTCTTGACTCCTTCCTTCCAGTATAAGCTGTCCAACTGAAGTCATCTGCGATACGTTCACACCATTCCCCGCTCTGCTTCGTGCAACAGCATGAGCTGTCTGTCAGTTAAAAACTTGAGGAATTTCTCTAATCCAGTTAATAGTCTGCTCAGCCTCTGAGACCTTACAGCCAATTAGTTCTAGATAGTTGGAAAATTGGTGATATAATTAGCTGATAACCCCAAAACTCTTGAAAGCTGTATTCTTGTTGCATATGTTCTATGCTGTATTTCAGGCTCATGAGAGGAAAAATACAGAAATCAGACTATGTGACTAATACAACGCATTTTAAGTTGCAGGCATGCATTTTAAAGCCCAAGCCCTTATCCTGTTGGATCACTTAACTGTTTAAGTACCCTTCTAAATCAGAAATGCATTCTCCTCAGTAAGTGAAGCTTCAGCAGAGTTAAGGCCAAACCGAATGGTGGCAGAGTGACTGGAACTTCCTAGAAAAAAAAAGATTTTTTTTTTTTCCCCCCAAACCTGTTACCAGATTCACCAGATGATAAAAATGAGATTTCTGACTCAGGAGATATATTTGTAACTCTGCACGTCGTGACAATACTTCAAGAAAACAGCGTATCCCTTAACAGCTCTGGAAGTAAAACACGCACAAAGTGCAATACTGGACCTATATCTGTTCCATCAGATTACTAGATTAGCTTTGATCTCATCGATAAAAAATTTTTATGGGCTGAACATAAACATTTATTGCAAGCATATATTGGTTTAGAGATTGGTGAGGCTTTTTGTGACAGATAACTTGCGTGCCTGCCTACAGGACTGGGGTTCTTTCCTGCTGGAGTACTGCAACAAATGCTTTAATGCTTTAGTTTGAAGCAAGAGTTTCTTCTAAAAATTGCTGATAGCCATGACAACTACAGATGCTTTTCGCACTTGGAACTTTTTGTTTTACATTAAATGTTAGAAGAATCAAGACTGATTTATTTCAAAACTTTCTGAGTTTTTTTTCCATGAAAGCGCAACTGTGACAAATCTGCTTTGAAGAAGCCTTTTGGAGGTTAAGGATTTGTTCTCAAAGTCAAATCCCTGCAGGTTAATGCTGGGACTTAAACCTGGGCTGACCTGATTTCCCTTTCCTTGTTACTGGGGGCATCACAAGCTTTTGGTGGGGGATGGATCACTGGGGTGCCATCGCTCCTAGTTACTTGGGAAAGCTGTTGCTTTAGTAGGTGAGAAACAAAAGGAAGGTGGGGAAGTGAGCAACTGCAACGAGTGTTTTGGGAATACAGTGCTGTTGAAGAAAAGATGGCAGCTGGGTGCTATTGAAGAGTTTCACTGAAAACCTTTCTAAACTTTCTGAATAAGCTTGAATGACCGCAGGAAGTGAAAAATATAAACTAATAAAAACGTTGTTTGTTTCCCTGCAGGGTCTCCTTATTATGACAATGTCCGCCCGCTCTCCTATCCAGATTCTGATGCTGTCCTGATTTGCTTTGACATCAGTCGGCCAGAAACTCTTGACAGTGTGCTAAAAAAGGTAAGTGCTCGAGAAACATTTGAGTACAGAACTGTTTGAGTAGCTTGTCTTTAAATCTCTGAAGAGCGGTGCTGTTTCCTACATTGGAAACTGGTTTGTTTCTTTTAATGGAGAGATGACAGGACCGTGCTCTGCACTGCTGGAATTTGAGATCATTTGTTTGAAAGGGATGAATGTTAATTGAAAACAAAAACTCCCTAATGGACGCTCAGGGGTGAAGTAAATTGTCATTCCTCAGCCCTTAGACAGCAGTGAATTGTTTAGGGTGGTGTGAGGTGCAGGGCTGGGTGCAGCAAGAAATCGTCTCTCACATTATATTCATATAACAGACAGGATTGAGAAACTTTGCCATGTTGCAAAGACGGTTAAAATGTGCCTGCCAAGTGTTTGGACTTTTGCCATGGCTTTACATAATTTCTCAGCCTGAAGTTAGAAGGAGCCAGTGACAAATGCCTCTGGAAGCCACCAGAAGACCTAGCAGTGGCATAGAAATGCAATCCTGCACCAAACTTCAGAATTCTTCACAAGCTCAGTGATCGAGATTCAGTGCCAGACTTTCCCCCAGTTAAAACATTGAATTTTGATAGTCAAGCTCTGTGTTTGCAAGGTGGTCCTGGTCCTCTCCTTGGTCACTGAGCGTGACTCAACTTTGCAGTTGAGTGTTTTTAAGGTCTTTGAGGCTTAATGACCTGAAGTTCCTTTTTTCTGTAGCTGGGGCCGGTGATTCTTGTCACTGGGAGTAAAGTGGCATACAACGCTCTGAATAGTCTACAGAAAATACTTAAGACTATTCTCTCAGCTACTAACTGTGCCAACAAGCATCTAGAACTGTCTTTTTCTTTTCTGTCCCTGATAATGTTGGTTACTATACTGTTGCTTAATTCTGTAAGATATTTTTCTTAATATGCTTTTAAACCCAAATGATATCCTTAAGTTTTAGGGATTGTGTGATTTGTTCAGATTACGTTGCGGAACTTTTGGCTTTCTTGTGTTCTCAAAATAACCATGTAGAGGGGGAAGAAACCCAAGGAATATATCGCAAGTTCTGTTTGAAGGGCTTGATACTGGTTCACAACAGCTGAACCCTTGACAGATTTGTGTAGTTCTAGGTGTGAGGATGTAGCCATGAGCCAATATATAGCAATGCTTATTTTCTGGTCATATAAGACCTGCCTCTGTAGCTCTGTCTTGAGGAACCGTTGAATGCGGTGACACCAGGTTTCATTGGTTCCTGTCTGGAAATGGCTATGGCTGGGTGTTTACTGCTTGTGAGGAGTGACAGGTCTGCATACCTTTACTCATGTAGGTAAACAATCTCAATTTGTTCCCTCTTGATTAGTAAGTCGGTGGAATTAATGAGTGTATGAGATTGTAAGATTTCATCCTTGACCAGATTCTGCTGGAACAAATGCCTTTAGAAATTAGCTTGAAGGTAGATACAACTATTACGTAAGAATATTTCCACATGAAATGTCATGACTTACTGAGCTTCATCTTGTATCTATTGCTTCTTTGGATTTAAACATTCAGCTACTCAAGTATAATAACAACCTAATTTACAGTGGAAAGGTGAAATCCAGGAGTTTTGTCCAAACACCAAAATGCTTTTGGTTGGTTGCAAGTCGGATCTGCGCACAGATGTGAGCACACTAGTGGAACTTTCCAATCACAGGCAGACACCCGTGTCCTACGATCAGGTATGTGCCACGTCCTTCATTGTACTTAGGGGTGGAAGATAAGACTCTTTTCTATCACTGTGGCCATCTTTATGAACAACTTCTCCCCCCGTTGACACGAGTGCGTCCTAGAAGTCAGATGCGTGTACTCTAGTTGCTGGAGGTGAACTTGAAAACTTACGAGTAAAGGCAAAGCCTACCCGCAGACTGGATGCAGCAGAAAATCATGCAGCCCCACAGCACGTGCTTTAAGCATCATAAGATTGTAGCCTTATTGATTGCAAAGAGCCTTTTAAGTGAATTGAAAATAAACTTATTGCTTTTCTGGGCCTACAGAGGCCAAAACAGTAACTGAGCTGTGACATGTCCTGCTTATTTACTGATAAATTGGTAACATTTTTTGTTCAAACTTAAGATTTTAATCTCAAACAATTGACTTTAGTATCATGACAAGCATTGCATATAGTGCTTAAAAAACCAATTTCCTGAAAACGTCATCTGTGAAAACACCTTGTAGCTCCCTCTGAAAGTGGCAGCAAATCCAGAAAGCATCTTAATTCTTGGCAGCAGTTCTCTGCTGCTGGGGAAGTGAGAAGTTTGAAGCCAGGCGTCATGGGATAGAGAAACTGAGGTGAAAGGGAAAGGAGTCAGGCCATGGGAGAGCAGGAGGTAGAGAATGGGAAAACTGGGCTCTAAGGTAAACTTCCCCTTATTACTCACATGTGTATCATGCATTGCAGTTGAATCTCGGTTGCGGTTTGAGATACACCCTGCAGGGTGTAAGAGTGAGAATGGTACCTCCAGAAGTAACTTTAGTGTGTATATCCTATGCTATCAAGCAGTTTTTGATGTTTTATCCACAACCTCAGGTTTTCCAAACCAACAGCTCCTAATATGCAATTACTAATAATGTAGCCTCCTACAGCATGTTTAAATTTGAAAATGCAAAGATACCATAAACTATCTTGATTAAAATATAACAGGGAGTATCGTACTGTGATGGCTTATACTGGTTATGGCATTTTTCTACGCTTCACTCAGTGAACATCCCTCTGTCTCACAGTTCTATATGAAACTAAATGCCAGTTTTTTACCTCGGTGTAAAACAATTCAGAAGTGTCCTTAAACCTGCTTGTTGCGGAAGATGTCATCTCTGTTCCAAACTACCACTGTTGCATGTGTATATATTCATGTTGTTCAGCCTCGGAGCTGTTATTTTCCATGCTATTTTTCTTTGAATATTAAACTTAAAAGGAAATACTGTCTGCTACTTATTACACACATGAGTTTGTATATTACATTTTTTACAGTACTTCAGTAAAATCACCGAGTTTCACCTCTTTCCATAGATAGCGATCAAAAATCTACTGACAGGTGGATTTTTCCCCTGGAGTTAAAGATTCACAGCTTTTCTGGTGTCACAGCTTAGCCTGTACCCCTTAGGAACAGCAGTCGGCTGAAGGCAAAGGGCTAAGCCAGAAACTATTACTTGGCAGCCAAAGGGAAAATTGTACGTGTTACAGGGAAGCTCACACTTCAGCAAACTCCCATAATTTCATCTGTACTCTAAGCAAAAGCTTAGACTGAGCAATGGTTGTATCTCTTGTGGTTGCCAAATCCCTGGTGGCATGAAGCAAGCCCAGTGCGCTCCTGTGTTAGTTCTAGGGAAGGGTCCCCTGGGGTCGAGATACACAGCTTATTTTTAAATTCCCTTGCCTTGCTAAGTCGACACGGGATCAAGGAGCTTAGTGGGGTTTTCCCCATTCCTCTTAACTTCATAAGGAAGTGTCGGGAGGATAAAGCCACCTCCAGTATGCTAGCCGGTTTCCAGTCAGCTACACCTGAGCAAACATTTCTGAGGCTCTAAGGTATAGGCTAGGCTTGGTTAGTAAGAGTTGAGATGTTTAACCGTGGGGAGGGCTTGTCCTACAAACTTAATACTCCTTTATCAGCCACTCCCACTTACAGTTGATAAGAAGATGGCTGCATCACTGCAGTGTAAATAGTGCGTACTGAAGACATGGGTCCAAATGGATTAGTGCCATCAGCCTGGCACTGGAGCAAAGAGGAGGGGTTGGACTGACTTATGCCTGTATCTCGGGCAGAAGTGTGAGTGGAATATGTGAGGAGTGGCACATCAAGGATGTGGTTGGATTTTGTAACTTACTAAAAAGATTCATCCCTCAGAAGTAAAATTCCGTTGGAAGAACTCCATTTTTTTCACACAGTGCTGTATTGTCTTCCAGTAGCAAAATCCACAACAGGATAGCAGGGTATCGTCATCCGCCGGAGTCATGTGTTGTTTTCCTTGTGCTGCTGGAACAAATATCCCTGCTTTGACTTTTAATATGCTTAAAAATCAAAAAAGAAGGGCTCGTATAACCACTAATGTCCTTTTTTTTTTCTTTTTTTGCCTGCTCCCTAGCTACAAGCTGATATAACTGTCCCCGACCCAGAAACCCACAGCACATTTCCCTATGAACTTTGCCCCCTTCGTGGAGATGTAACACGGCCCCCGCTCCAGGGCAGGGGCACCCTGGCTAGCCCTTAAGGCAGTCGGAATACATTTTTCTCCTTGGAGACAGCAGGCTTAAATCTGGAAGCTGCCCAGGTCCAGACCTTTCCCAGTGAGCACGTGATTCACGGATGCAAGTTAAGGTGTAAGGGTGAAATTGCTAAATAGGTCCTACTAATACTTCTTGGCTTTCTGCAGTTGTTTGCAGGTCGGAGAGCTTATCTTCTCCCTTCCAATTTGTATTTATCGGCACAGGAGATAATGCTTGGATACTTGTTTAAAGCGTCTTGGAACCAAAGCTCTGTTTATTTTGCAAAATTAGCTGCTGGCTGTAGTGCTGGAGCTTTAGCTTTGGTTTTCACAAAACACTGTGTATGGAAAACAGCGCTGAAAAGTAATTGTATGGTTTGCTTTGGCTCTCTGCGGAAACTTGGTATTGATTGCATGTTCTTTTTTCCCTTAGGGTGCAAATATGGCCAAACAGATTGGAGCAGCTACATATATTGAATGCTCAGCCTTACAGTCAGAAAACAGTGTCAGAGACATTTTTCATGTTGCCACCTTGGCGTGTGTGAATAAAACAAATAAAAATGTTAAACGAAACAAATCGCAGAGGGCAACAAAGCGAATTTCACACATGCCTGGCAGGCCAGAACTTTCCACAGTGGCGACGGACTTGCGAAAGGACAAAGCAAAGAGTTGCACGGTGATGTGAAGGACCTTGATTTTCCTGGAGAAGGAGGAAGAGAGCATCCGGGAGGGGTGGAGGCTCAATGAAGTACACAGCCACATGGTATTTAATGAGGGCTTATGCCAGTGCTTTAATGGAGATTTCGCCTGTTGTGTGAGACTGTACTTAGGAACTGAGCAGCGAGAAGAAATGGCTCTAAACGAGGTGGCATCAGGAAAATGATACATGGAAGAAAATGCCAAAAAAAAAAAGGGAAAATGTTTGAATGTGCTGAAAAAAGAAGGGGTGAATGGGAAAATAACACTGCAAAGAAGAGAGGTGTCATTGACATTGCTTGTTTCTTTTATTAACGCTCTACTCCTGGATGCTACCACTTTGATTTCATTAAAATAATACTCTAATGTTTTTTTTAAAGAAGACGTTATTAATATGCCCTCCTCATTAAGGAACTATCCCTGTGACCTTATAGTTGGTTTTCCAAAGGATATGATCTCATTTTTTTTAGTAGCTCATCGTTAAAATGGAGAGTATACCGAGGCCTGTGAGTCACCTAGAGGAAAACACTGTATGTGAGAAGTCTGGAGTTTTGCCTTCCCGAGACGGCAGCGCAATCTACATTTCAGCACGTTGGTAATGAAGAAAACCGTTTGAGATTTCCCAGTATTATAGGTGCCCTCGCACTGTGGAAATAAAACGGATCAAATTGGGGTGTGGGGGCAAACTGCCTGCCCGTGGCAGGACTCTGACTTTCCATTCCTCTTTGTGATTGTAATTTAGAGTGGAAATGATCTCCAGTTCTGGTGTACTGTATGGGTATGTCACTGTAGGTTCAAGTGAAAGGTGCTAAGAGCTATGAGGACAAATGATCCTTAGTTTTACAACCATGATAATTCGTTAAGCCTTACTGCCCATCTGGGGAAGCCCCGAGACTCCTCTGCTTCTGCTAGGAGTTGGAGAGCCGGGTAGATCCCAGGATCTAGCCCTCTGTAAACGCTACAGAGAAGTGCTCTTCTGTGATGTGGTTCACTGCAATTATCTTCGCAAAAAAAAACCCCAAGAATCTGCAAATGAGCCAGCAGAGCCAGGTTATCTTTTGCGATGCTCTTCTTTTTGGGGCAGCCGTCTCTCGCTGCAGACTGCGTTTGCTCGTGGTGAGGAAATGGGGTCTGAAGAACTGTGACGCCTTAAGGGGTCCCCAGTGGATACTGGATACTGCCCTTAGTCTTGAAGATTAATATATACGTATCCAGACAACAATCACGAAACATCGGTGAACCAGTTAAGTCAAATTCCTTTTTGCTTATTGAATACTATTGTTACATTAAATAA